GAAATAAATGCAACGCAAAATAAATGAATGGAAGTAAAATGAGATAAAGTTGAGAGAGATTGTACCGGGATTTATAGAGGTTTGATAAATCTCTTGGCCTAATCCTCTCCTTAAAAGACAAACTTGTTAAGAGTTCCACTAATAAAATCTTTTGAGCTTTTGCAAGGATTTCCCATGAACATTATTACAATCGATTGAGAGATTTTACAATGGTTAACTCAAACCTAATGGAGCCTTTTATAGACTCACTTCATGAACCAAGAACGATATTTTGACAGGCTAATATTGGAAACCAAACAGAGATTTTGTAGGACAAACTCCACAACCAACCAAGAGAGACTTCAAAAGAATCACACTCTTGATAAAATAGTTGAACACCGGTACAACTACAACCTCACAAATGTTTTTCACTAACAAAGGCACTGAGCCAACTTTTAAGTGAAAATAAATAAGTATAAATAGAAAGGTCAAAATGAGAGAAGAATAATTTATAATTGAATTATGGTGTATGAAATAGTGAGGAGGAACCATCCTTTTATAGGAGAAATATATCTTAAAAAGGAAAATGATCCACGAGATTTTTAATGCTCACAATAGATTATGCATATCCAATAATCAATTATGTAGTTTAAAAATGGAAAGTTTCAAATTTCGTTGTTACTAATCAACTTTAAACCCTACTAGTCTATTATAAGGTGAAATATGTTGGAACAAGTTTGGTTCCGTAACTATCTTTATGTTTTGATGATAACAAGGAATACATCGTATGAAGAACAATTTTATATTCTAACAGTTTGCTAAGTGTGCAGTAACTGATAAATAGTTTTGGACTCTGAGCTAGCAAGTTGTGGACTCTGTACTAGTGAAAGTTATGGAATCTGAACGAGCAACTCTTAACTTTGGACATCAAATGCACTATAAACCAGTGGAGAGTACAATGAATTATTTACAAGTAAATCTGCATCTGAAAGCATCAAATATAATCCTGAAAGGATCTTATCCAGATTGACTCTGAAGTCTCAACGTTTTCAAGATTTGAATACCAACTCTAATCAAGCTTCAATAACTTATTTTTAGAAGCCTCTGGCTCAAGAAGTTTAATATGAAGAGAGATAGTAACTCTGAACTTTAATCAAGCTTCAAAAACTTATACTCAGAAGCCTCTGACTCAAGAAGTTTTCTATAAAGAGATAAAGTGACTCAGACCTCTGACCAAGCTTCATCTAAATCTACCAGAAGCCATTAATTCAAGATGTCATCACTGAAGGAAGATAATGTGAAATATTAAAATAGTACGAAATCATTATCCTCTACACTACTTTACAAAAAGGATTGTATGTCAGTACCAAATTTTTCAATACTTCCCATCCTTCCTTTCACTGCTGCATACATCTTCATGCATCTATGATTTGTGAAATTCCAACTTAATCCTCCAATAAATATATTCTTCATTTATATAAAGGAGATCTTGAAGCATTAAAAAAACGAACAAGAATAACTACAACGTACATATTCAAAGAAAAGAAAAATCAAGAGAGAAATATCGAGAACTCAAAGTTGAGAAACTATACAAAGAAGAAAGTCGTTATTATCTTGAAGGCTTTATAACTTTCATTTTTTGTAAATCTTGTTGTATTGAAACAGTGTGTATCAACATTTTGAGAAACACTTTATAAACACAAAACTTTGTAATCTTATCCAGTTGGTTAATTGCCTTGAGTGACTAAGTGCTTAGTTAGAATGCTCGATAAATCATTGATGGGTTGTCTCTAAATGATTTCCTTGAGGGACTAGGGTATAGTCATAATCCTTGAGAAGACATTGAAGGGTAGTCTTTGTGGTTTTAATTAAATTTTTTGATTAGTAGATTAAGTCCTTGTTGTGGAACCTTGTTTTGCAGGTAACATATGTTGTTCTGATGATGACAACTATAAAAGATCATAACGGATATTAAACATGACAAATAAGCAATATGATAACAAACAAAATAGAACAGATAATCAGCATGCCAAAGTGAAGCGGCGCGAAAAATACCTGAGTGCATCGCACACTCGAAATATTACAATAAAGTCGCCAATGATATTTATTTGTTCCAAAGAAACGGGAAAATATCGAATAAAACCCACAAAATAAAAGAAATGTTCGTCGCGACCAAGTGAGAGTTTGGGAGTCGGTTATGCAACAGAGAGGTATTAGCCCCCCTCACATCTGTTGTACTCAACGGGAACCATTTAGTTAGTGTATGTTCAAGTTTTTGTGTGATAGTTAGTGATATTCTACCTATTAGTCGAGAAATGATAAGAGATAGCATTTTTGTTTTTTAGTTTATTGGGTCTGCCAAGACTTTGCAGTCTCATGCGTATGTATCCCTATAGTGCAATAAGGAAATCAGAGCTCCATAGTTTGTCTAAAAAACCACAGATTTATTGGTTAATTTTAGAAAAATGATGCGTTAGACATTTCAAACATTTAAACTTTGACTTGTTTTGATCGTTCGCGGAGACTAAATCTTTGAGTTTGTTTCGTTTTAAAATGTCTAAGGCACATTCATTTTGAAAAGGTTTTTGGAGGAGTCGTGCAAGGGAAAAAAATAAAGTTTGATGAGTTGAAGTTGTTTTTATGGTATACCAGTGTCAAATGGCCGAGATATGTATCTTGTATTCAAACAATTAGGGAAAGGTTGGATATGCTTCCAACTCACCCGTTTAATCTTTTTTATTGAAAAAAGAGTGAGACGAGTTTAATCTTAACTCTTTAATAGTGGGTGAGTATCAAATGGCCGAGATATGTATCTCGTATTCAAATACTCATGAGGAAGGGAGGATATGCTTCCATCATACTCGTTTATTGTTTGTCGAGTTCGCATTAAAACCGCTTAATTAAAGTGTTTTGATCCGTTCATAACTAATCGAATGGGAAAGTAAGGTAAATTGTATTCAATTAATTTAGGAAAAGGTAGGATATGCTTCCATCTCGTCCATTCAATCCGTTTTGTTTAAGAAAAGGTTTTCACGTATTGAAACGACTTGATGTTGGATCAAGTGTTGAAGTTTATTATGAAATTGGTTTAAGTGGAGAATGGAGGAGGTTGATGGCGATGCAAAAGTAATCGACTTACGAAGGTTTAAGAAATGAGGTGAATAGGTAAATGGTGATGCAAAAAGCAATCTACTTAAAAGGTTTAAAAGATGGCTCGATATTAGATTGAGAGTTTATTATGAAAAATTTTGAGTGAATCGAAAGAAGACTCGACTTTGTAATTGATTTGGATTTGATTTGGGAAGAGACTCGATGTTGGATCGATTATTGTTTTAGTTTTTTTTTAAAGATTGGTTTTAAACTACCTTAATCTTATTTAACAATCATAACAAGCAATAAGCAAAATATAATGGAAAGTGGTAAGTTTATTACACTTTAATGGGAATAGGGGTAGGAGTGTTCAAATCCAGACCAATCTAAATAAAAACCGCAAATCGGTCTAAAAAAACCAAAAATCGTAAAAAAAACAAAATTTACTAGATGTGTTTGGATGACATTTTGTGAAAACCGCACGGTTCAGACGGATTTCAGATTGATTTTTCAAAACCGAACCGAACCGAACCGCATATATATATATATATATATATATATATATATATATATATATATATATATATATATATATATATATATATATATATATATATATATATATATATATATATATATATATATATATATATATATATATATATATATATATATATATATATATATATATATATATATATATATATATATATATATATATATATATATATATATATTGTACTTATTTATTTTTTATTAGTATGATATGTTACATGAATTTATTATTAGATGATAATTATTTGGTTTAATCTATTTATTTTTAATATTCATTTATTTCAACTATAATTGATCATTCTCATTTTATAATATTCACTTTAATATACTATATGTTATATATTATATCAAACCTATGATTTATTAGTATTTTTATAATATTAATAAAAAAATTAATTTGTAATTTGGATATCAAAAAATTGATCCAAATAAAAATGCATTAATTTAGATCATATCGGATCAGTTTTTTTAACATATCATCTAAAACTGAACCGAACTGTAACTAGATTTAACTTTAAATCAGATGAATTTTTATCTTAAAACTGATCCAAACCGGACTGAGAATACCCCTAAGTGGGGGTACACTTTGATCGAATGGGGATAGGGTGAAACAATTAAATTACAAATCCATTAACAAGTACACAAGTGAAGTAAATCATATAATTGGTTAATTAAAAGTCGATTGAATTAATTACTTAAGCTAACGAAAAATTAATTAGAAAAACTAATTAACTTTATTTAACCTAATCAACTAACAAAAACAAAGTTTAATTAATCGATCAAAACTCATTGTAAGAAAGCCTAAGAGAAAGCCTAAGAGAAAGCCACAGGACCGAAATCGAGAACAACCAAATTTAACGTCATGTTAAGTAATCATAAGGCGATTCATGTAGGAATCAACCCTATAAGAGGCTGGTTAATGGGGCTTATGCGCATAGGCGATTCAAAAAATAATATTAAATTAAATTTTGAAATCACAACGCAAAGTAAAAGAAGCAAAAACTAAAAAATATCGAATATTGCACTATATTAAGCAATCGTAAGGCGATTCATGTAGGAATTAACCCTATAAGAGGTCGTTCAATGGAATATATGCATCCTAAATGACTCGAAGAATAATATAGAGTTAAACTTTGAAATCGTCGTGAAAGACTAAAAGGCAACTCGATTCAAAACAAAGCAAAATATTAAAATAAAAATAAATTAATCAATAAATAAAAAAACTAACTAATTATGAAAAAAATAATAATAGCCAATAAAAATGAACAAAAATTATTTAAAAGCTAAATAGTAAATGAAATCAAAACAAAAATTAAAATAAGAAAGAAAAAGAAAAAGGGCCTAAAATAGTAAAACAGTGGGTGAGGAAAGAAGAAATGGCAAAGCCCAATGAAGGGTGGCCCAAAAGTGCTGGGGAGTCCACCATGGATCCCAGTCAACTAAGTTTGACTCTTGGGAGTAGATCCTGGGCGCTGAGATCATCTGGTCAACAGGTTGACTGTTATTTGATGGTGAAAGTATGAAGGCGCATGGTAAGGGATATGGGGGCGCCCGTGTGGAGTCCAGGGAAAGAGGCATATAACTAGTGACAAGTGTCCCAATGGTGGAGTCACTTGTCACCACCGTGTCAGAATAAACACAACAATTAAAACAAAAAATACACAAATAGCAATTCATTTTTCAAAACGCTCTCTCTCTTCTTCTAAACACAGAACTGATGTGCAACCTATCCTCATCGGAAAACACAAACCCGCCAAAGAAGGAGGTGGCACATGGTGGCCTCCTCCGTATTCTCCGGTGAACACCACCTAAATCTCAAAAATCTCTACACAAACCCCCCTAATTTTCCATGTAGATTCCGAATCTGGACTCGAAAATCCCTAAACCCTCACCAATTAGTCTGATCAAAATGTTCCCAAACCAAAACCCTAAGTTACAAAACTCAACCAAAATGTTTGATTCAAGTACGAAAATGGAACGCAAGAAGGCTCTGAGCAAGAAACTCAAATAAAAACAACAAGAACAAGCCAAATGAGAGCAGATTGGAGCACTTGAAGAACTTACCTCTTGAAGACTCTTTCAGGTAACGTACTTAGATAATATTAAGCTTCCAGAACTCCTCTTCTTCTACTTTTACTTTTGAAAATGTCGGTGTTGCTGTGTTGAGAATAGGCTTAGCTCAACGTCTTCAGTCTTCAGAATTTCAATGTGAAATTCTGTAGAATTTTTATCAAGAATGAGCTCTGAGTATTTTGTGGTCAGGGAAGAAATTGGTGCAGAGTGACATTAGGGAATGAGTTTTTCCAAATCCAATGATTGGTGAGGTTGTTAAATAGAGAGTTTGGCACATGTTAGGTTAGCTTGGTATGTGCGTGATTCAGTTAGGATTGAGAGGGAAATGAAAAAATAAATTTGGTGATTTGTTTCAGTGAAAATGATTTATGTTTGAGTGTTTTTGATGCAATCTGTGGCTCCCTTTCTGATTAATTTGGTCCCTTAGATGAAACTTTCAGTGTGGTCAGATTAAGAATGACTTGAGCATTGAGATTGTTATGAGTTTTGGTTTTTTAATTGCTTTTCTGTTTTGAAATTGATTTTTTTCTGTTTTTGAATGAAGTATGTGTGAAGGTTATTATTTGGGATCTTTGTACCATGTGTTGACATTGTGGTGTTTTGTTGTGTATGTTCTACAGGTGCAAAAGTTGCTGATGGTGGTGACATGATGAAGGGCTAAGAGGATGGTGGATGAAGAAGTGATGATGATGTACGTGGGAAGGGAAATGACGCTTGCACTGAAGCTGCTTTTCCGTTTTGCTTTTCAATTTGTTTTGTATTTTTGTCATTTTTGTTTGTCCATAGTGGGGGACTGCCCCACTTAGTTGGAGCTAGAGCCAATAGCAAGTAATAGGTATATTCCCTTGCATTTTGAGTGCAAACAAAGATTTTTTTTTTAATAACTAGGTTTTGAAAAAAAAATTGCAAATAATCTTTCGGAGAAAATTACACAAATAATCATGTTTCAGAAAATCCCACAAAGGAGAAACAATCTTACTTGGCGCCTACATCTTAAATTAAAGGGGAGGCGCCATCTCACTTGGCGCCTATGTGTTAAAAGTGTGTCCTAAGCCATGTGAGATGGCGGCTTAGTGCAAAGGAGGTCCAATTTTTTTCATTTTTTATTTTAAATATGGGACATTAGGTAAATGATATAGCTTCATGAAAATTCGACTTTTTATTTATACAAAACAATTACATAATAAAAAAATACAAAATAATTAGTGGTCCCTCGAAACTCGGTAACGACCTGCGGTTCCACATTCATGTTCTCGTCTGTCTCGTGGTGGGTTTCGTCGCATTTTCTGTTGTTGCAGGGTCGATGGCTTAACGAAGTCAATGTGTCTCGGATCCATGAAATCAGTCAGATTTCTATATCTAGAAGATTCGCTTTGGTACAGTCGGTTACCCATACCCTCAAAGTTTGGTCGTCTTTGTGGTGAGTGGGGTTCCATGGTTGGTCTATAGCACTGGTCGTCTGAGTAAGGGGTAGAAAGGAAATGAATCCTGGGGTGTTTGGTATTGCGAATGTTAGGTGCTTTGGTGATGTGGTGGTTGATGGTAAGTTGGGTCGGTTGGGTCATATTCTTTGGAAAATCCTAGATCAGGGCTAAGGTTAGATGTTGAGGGGCTCATATTTCGATATGGAGAAGACTGGAATTGTGTGTGGGGCATGCAGGTGTATTAGTATTATGATTGAGATTGTGGTTGGGTGTGGGGCATATGGGGGTATTGGTATTGAGGTGGTGATTGTGGTTGGGTGTGGAGCATGTGGGTGTATTCGTATTGTGGTGGTGATTGTGGTTGGGTGGTTGTGGATCTGTATCGTCGGAGAGGTTGGTGGGAGGTTGATGTGTGTTGGGTTTGTTGTTAAGGAAATGAGAGTTGTGCCCATTGTGTTCGTGAGTCAACCAAATACCTTGGATGAGACACGTGCATTTCTGGGTTACTAACCGATCTGTACCAAGCTAAATATTGATCAGTGTGTCGCATATTACTCTGGTTGAAGAAAACAGGGAATTGCAAGACATGTTGGTGACGCCTATGCCACATCTTACACCACTCTCGAGAAAAATATTTCCAATTGGTAAGACCCCATTGGATGTTAACCCTTTTTGAAGTGTCACGGGGACAAACAAGTTGGATCGCAGGGTATCTCTTGATGCATTCCAAACTGCATCATGACACGGTCGCTGTGGTGCATCTCCATAATGTTGAATCGTATGATTGTAGTCTTTGCAGTTCAAATTGTTGCATCCTCAGAGTTTGATTCATGGTCCAAACCCAAATATGGTCTCTAGATAAATTGTGGATAAAATTAAATCAGCTTAATGAAAACATAATCAATAAATAATTTAAATTCAGTACAACCTATTTAATCCTACATTTATCAAAACACTTCTACACTCAATCACTCAATGGCCTCTGCATCATAATATGTGATCAGTGCATATTTCAACAGTGAAACATACATTTGTCTCACCTCTGGGTTTTTGTTTAGAGACACCGAGAACATATGATTGTGTTTAAACAGGAAAGCCAATTTCTTGTATTTCAAAAAACGATTGGAGGTCAAACTTGGACGAGGTTCCGTGACACAAATATTTTATCAAAATCCGGTTTTTTTTTGTGACAACCAAATAATATTTTATAAGGTTGAGGTTCAAGATGATGAGGACCTTCAGAATATGTTTTCCAGTCATGAGTATTCTGGGTACGACTCTATTGAGTTGTACATTGTGTTGTGAGAGCCTCGACTGTCACAAGTGGTTGATCCTCTTAAGGCCGAACAAGTAGAAGTAGATGTTGTTGACGAAGAAGAAGATGATGAGTTAGAGTTTGAAGACATGGTCAATGATGGTTCTGAAGACGATGGGATACCTGGTATACCTCCGAATGAGATCTACACACCACCTCCACACATGACAAGCTTTAACATGGGCGGAGATGAATCTTCATCTGATTTACTTTTCAATCTGTATATGCAGTCGGGTGAAAACTTAAAAGAGAAAGACAAATTTCGTAATAGAGAATATCGTACAAAATTTCTCGAGGGAGATCAAAGACAAGGCTCTTAGGAAAGCGGTTATGAATGCGAGGTATGCATTAACACAACCTACATTCAAACACTATCGCAACGAGATCAGATTGTCAAAGCTGGACGCAGGTAGGTGGATTGATAATATTCCGGTGGAGAAATGGACTAGGTCATACGACAATGGACAACGATGGGGCCACATGACAATAAATCTTATCGAATCCATGAACGGTGTATTCAAAGGCATACGAAACCTCTTAGTAACTGCCTTGGTTAAATCAACATATTTTAGGATGGCTTCGTTGTTGGCCAAAAGAGGTGAAATATGGAATGTTGTCTTGCAATCGGGACAACTATGGAGTGAATGTTAAAAGAAGCATATTAAGACAGAAAGTGCCAAAGCCAACACCCATCTGGTTATACAGTTCGACCGCCACAACCCTAACTTCATTGTCAAAGAGATAATCGACCACAACGAGGGGCTTCTAAGACAAGAGTATATGGTTATACTACCATCTTGTTGGTGCGATTGTGGCAAGTTTCAAGCCTTTCGTATGCCTTGCTCTAATGTCATTGCGACATGTGCGTATACTCATCAAGACGCATTACAACTTCTATCTTCCATTTAGAAGTCTAAAACCTTGCTCAACATATACAACAACAGCTTCCTATTGGTAGCGAAACCTAATTATTGGCCTGCATACGACGGTGAAATAGTATGGCACAATGACCAAATGCAAAGGAATAAAAAGGGTCGTCCCAAAAGCAAGCGTATCACAACTGAAATGGACTCCCTTGACAAGCTATAAAGAAAGTGTGGTTTATGTCGTCAGGTCAGACACAATCACAAAAATTGTCCAACTTGGGCTACTAGCTCAACAACATAAAAATTGTGTGTAAACCATCTTTACTTTTTTAAGTTGTAAACATTAAGGTTTTTCATTAAGAGCATTTTTTACAACAAACCTTACACAAAAATAAATAAAAACACGATAAAATGTCTAAGAAATTACAACCGTCAAAACAATTTCATCTGACCCATGCATCATCAACATTACGTCTCCGTCTGTTTTGACTTCCTCCAACCAAAAATTAGGTCTTCCTGTTGCAAGTGAGGTGGTTGTTCTTCTTCGCTGGATCCTTCTAATTTGTTCCCCATCCTTGATGTCTCCCTCTAGCCATCGCATCAACTCTCTCTTCAGATGCTCCATTGAGTGAATGTGCCAAAATTTCATTTTCGTCGGAGGTTTGGTGGCCGAGAAAATAACGTAACCATCTCTGGTGAAAATCATGGGAGATGTCATGACGCAAATAACAGAGAAAAATAAGAAGACAGTGCGAGAAAATGTGAATAATGATGGAGAAACGGGGGATTTATTTATAGAAAATAGCATTTTTCCCTAAGCGTCAAGTGAGATGGCGCCTCCTCTCACATTTAAAGTGCATACGCCATCTCACTTGGCTAAAAGTGAGAGAATGCGCCAAGTGAGATGGCGCCTAGGGCAAAAGGGCAAGTGTAGACCCCAACTAGATTGACTCCTCCTTTGTGGGGTTTTCTGAAACATGGTTATTTGCATAATTTTCTCCGAAACATGGTTATTAGTGAATTTTTTTTCAAAACCTGGTTATTACAAAAAAAAAATCGCAAACAAACTTAAACGAAAGAAAAAGAACAAAATCTTGTATCCCTCTTTGTATTTTACTCTTTTTGTGAATATTT